AGAGAGAGAGAGAGAGAGAGAGAGAGAGAGAGCAATATCGTTGCGCTCTTTTGTCTCGTAGAATGGTGGGGCGGGCACACACACATATGCTGCATATCACATGGATGTGCGCCCGCTTAAAAATCACTCCCCATTATCCCACCCTTAATTGCCAATAACTTTTTAGGGGTGAGTCTGATCAAAAAGTGCAAGAGGACTTTTCTGCTCATAATCACCCCCTGATCCTAGGGTGTTCAGATGTACATGTACTTCTGAAACACCCTGTATATCTGACTTTGAGTCTTTTCTGAGGGAAAAAGGGTTTGATGGTCCTAATATTGATGGTATAAATGATTTACTTCTGGTATTATTTGCTGACGACACGGTCCTCCTTTCCAGAAACCGACCGCTCTTCATGAAACTGTTCACTGCTTTAGAAGACAACTGCAAAGAGAAAGGTCTCGAGATCAATACGAGTAAAACTAAAGTCCTTATCTTCAAAGAAAGAGGTAACCCCAAAAAGCTAAAAGAAATGTCCTTCAAACTCTATGGTGAAAATTTAGATATTGTTAAATCCTTCAATTATCTGGGTGTCACTATTGTAATGGACCCGAGCGGTTGGGTTCAATTAGGGATGAATTACACGCGGGTAGTTAATAGAAATAATTACTTTATTCGGAATTGGTTTTTTAATCATTAATTTAAAAGTTATTGAATAAATAAAACTTGGTTTGATACTGAATATATCAAGCGAGTATAAAGTATAAAGAAGGTAATCAAAGAATTGACAAGTAACTGGCCCCGAGACAACGATTACACGAGTTTTTATCACCTCATGTAATACGATTGCATCAGGTCATTGTTCTTCGTCGCACACCCGCAAGGCATCGGGTGACGTCTTCCTGGTGTACGCGAAGGCCAGTCGTCGGGGCGCAAAGTGCTGACGCTGCACCCCAGTTATCTGTATTCGACGTTAACTCGTGAAGTTTTATTCACGAGTTTTTAATGTTATTTCATATTTCTTCATTCCACTGTTTGTTTCGAATAACTTGTGCCACTTTCGTCACTTCATGTTATTCGAATAAGCAGTTGAATTTTGAGAAGTTATTTGGGGCATAACATCCCTCCCCGCCAGGGAAGAAAATTACTACCCTCAGGAATTTTCTCTATTAACCCTAACTCACCGATATAAACCTTAATTAATAAGGTTTCTTACATTAATAATCAATATTACAAATTAAATACAATACATAAATTCTTATGCTACTTCGAAGCTAGGCGTTTCTCTTTTGGGTGCTGGCCAAGGTGTTCGACACCAGCAGTAAAGGGTTAGCCCCGAGATGAATGCTAGTATCACCATTACCCCGATAAATATCGATGATGGGTGTGTAAGAAATTCTCGATAATCGAACTTCTTTTCNTAATTTTTGTTTTCATTCTCTTCGCACTTTCGAAAATTCAACCCTCCGTCCCCAAAAGGCGCTAAGGGATGAAACTCGTGTCATTGAATTGAGCATTTAATACTCAATAAGTGACACAAGTTTCATTCCTTAGCTATAATTCGGGGGGGAGGGATGAATTTTCAACNCCAGCTCTTTCACGTTTCCAACGACATTGTTCAGCTGGATGTCACTCAGATTGAATCTTCGTTGCTCGAGCTGAGTGGTGGTGACGTCATCTAACGTCAAGTTCAATTTTGGGTGAACATGAGCGTTGTATGTTACCTCATGCAACTTCCGCCCTCTTATGGTGAAGTCGGAAGCGACTATCTCGCAAAAGTCCTTGACCCTCAAAGTCCCTGAGTCCTCCAGAGTATCCCTTACTTGCTCGTCGCCGCAGGTGACCTCTACTCCCTCGGGTTCTGGGGCTACATAGAACCATGCGTTATCTTTTCTCATTTTAATTAGAATGAGCCCTTGAAGCTGTAGATGCTTCACAACACATGTAGTTGGCATCTTCTCAGTATTCACGTACATTTGCACTTCACATGGGCTTGTATCTTTTATTTTTTGTATGGGCAAAGACTCAGTGCTTAAGTATTGCCCTCGAATCTGCTTACAGCGATTTAATTGTCCCTCGGTCATTGGCACGAATTGCTGCGTTGCCCCGTGGATAACCAGAAGTTCGTTCTTCGCCTCCAAGTATGAGTGATACCCGTTCGTTGTTCGCACAGGAATTCCATGCGTCAGCGTAACGTCGAACGCTTGAAAATTGACGAGTGGTATCTCTACCAAGGTAACAATTTTAAATCCAAATACATGAACGTGGACGGTGGATACCTCCTGCATTTGATACATCCCGCCTACTTCGAGCTCAAAGGGGAAACTTAAACCCTTCGGTAACTTCGCTGTTTTAAGAAGGGCAACTAAACTCCTCTCTGTGAATACCCCTGAATCCATTAGCTTCCCTTTGGCGTCAGTCAGTAGCTTCTTGATCTTCGCAGCATCCCTCATTACTCCGGTGTAGATAGCTTCCAGTATCATGAGATGCTCGTCCAGATCAACCTTATCTGTGATCGTTAATACCTCGTAATCTTTCTCCTTTAAGGACTTCATGAGGATTTCTTCATTCTTCTGAATCATCTCCTCCGTATGTCCCAACTGATAGATAGTTGAATTTACGATCTCCATTTGTTTCTTAGAACTCTCAAAAGTCCCTTCAACCCCACTTTCTAATCGTGAAAGTCTCTGGTTGATGATAAGTGCATCCTCAGCATCCATTGTACCGAACAATGATTTTGCGACAGTCCCTAGACCGTCTATAAGACCTCGGCGTTTTCTAGAATCGTTGATCCCCAGCATCCCGGAGATAACATCTTTAGTCTCCGCAAAGTCCTCAGCCCACTGAGTAATTATCAGCTGGAAATTTTTCCCGCTTTCGTATGCTCCTCGACTGCATTGCTCCTTAGCGAGTTCAAGATGTCTATGGACCTGATCAGCTCTCAGCATCCAAGGCCCCACATCTGTAGATGCAGCGATACTCCATACTTGATTACTCAGATACAATCTTCCGATAGGCTCAAAATGAATTCCAGGAGTGTCAATAAATTTCTCAACCACATGCCCCTCCCCCCTTATTTGAGGTGCCATGCTTCCCAGCATGAGCATTATTAAGGCCGTTGCAAAATTTATCGACTTCCGTGTTTTTGCGAAATCACAGGTTCTTGAACTTGAGTTGGACGTCGACTTTAGGTGACGTTGCCTTGACGGCAGCCATGTTTGTCGACGTTGCACCCCTAGACATAAAAGTGCCTGTCGTCCCCAACAAGTCACAGTCCTCTTAAAAATTCCAAGTGGAAAGGTTATAATACCCCATAGCATCAAGATGAATAGTGCCAAGTGCTTTAAGTGCGGAATTGCTGGACATGTTTCACGAAAGTGTCCCTTCGCTGAGTGTGGAACATCTACCAACTGCGGAATCTGTTCGAGATCTCGTCGATTTCGACCTCGACCAACAGTATCCGTCTCTGCAGTTGTCAAAAGATGTTTTACTTGTGGTGAGCCCGGACATCTCTCCCGTTCTTGCCCACTGCGTATCAGCATCCGTCCTGCAACCCGTCCTGCGCCTTCTTCGGGATCTCCGTTGAAGACTAACCAGTCCAAGGGTTCAACTGGAAAACCAGCGCCCCGCTGCCGTGTTTGTCGCACCTTTGAGCACCACCCTCTGGACTGCTCTCCGGACCAATCAAGTAGACCTGCCAGGAGAAGTGTGTGGGATCGACTCGGACCGCTCGTTCCTCGACCAAAATGCTCCGTCAAGAAACACCCATATTTAAAGCACTCGGTGGATGCATTCATGTTTAAATATCTGGTAAGTCCGAATACCTCCTCTACTCTCCTAACAACCTGTTCTTTTCCGACCGTCTCAGTCTCTATTTCTTCTAATTTTTGCCTGTTTTTTGACATTTCTAGTGTGACAGATTTCCCTATCGACCCGGATACGTCAATCTGGAGTTCAAAAATAAAGTCAAGCAATGGAGAATCAGTAGAGGGAAGAACCTGAATGCCCTTTGGGATCTTCCGATCCGTTCCGACATTGAGATAGATGTCCAGGACGTCTTCAATCTTCGTGGTCTCTTTCAAGAATCTCCAACAGCTCAGCCATGTCATGTACCCCAATTTCTGGAAGATACTGGAACTAGATGTGCTCGCTGTCATTCCTACTGCTGGGACTATCCGGATTTCTTCTACCTGGGAAGAACCTGGCACACCCGAAACAGTCTCAGTGCTCCGATTATACCTTGGAATTAATTGTTTAATTGAATAAACACATGGCAAGGTCAATCTTATTTTTTCCATAAAAAATTCCTTATCCCAAAAATAAGAAATTTCCAGGTCTTCGAAGAGTTGTAACGTCCGAGGCAGAGGTACATATAGTCATGCCTCTACAAAAGGACGTAGTCGGTTGATGTGGACTCTCTGTGTTTTCTTCTTTCCTCCGCTTCGAATTATATAGTTCACATCAGATTTCTTCTCTACAATTTCGTAAGGACCGATCCAGGGCTGTGTCAACTTCTTCGATCTTCCGCGTCGCAAAACATCGTTTTTCAACAGGACTTTGTCGCCAACTTTGAACACCATTGGCTCCGCATCTCTGTCATATTGAACTTTCGATCGTTCTTTCACCTTGTCAAGGGTCTCTCTCGCCTCCTGATGAGCTGCACGTAATCTTTCCCGTAGCTCCTGAGCAAAGTCATCGTAGCAGTACGTCAAACGAGGCGGCTGTTTCACGGCTGTCGGTAATTCAGCGCGTCTTCCAAAAATTAGCTCAAATGGCGTCATTTTTGTTGCCGTGTGGGGCGTAGTGTTGTACGCAAACATGGCGTATGGAAGCCACGTATCCCAATCAGTTTGATCCTCCTGAATGAAGCCTCTCAGGTACTCCGCTAGAGTGCGATGCGACCTCTCAACAATGCCATTGGTCTGCGGATGATATGCCGTTGTCTGTATCTTCTTTATTTTCAAAAGTCTACAGACATTTTTGAATATTTCCCCCACGAAATTTGGTCCTTGATCCGTGAGAAGTCTCTGTGGCGTTCCATATTCACAAATTATTTTCTCCGCGAACGCACGTCCGACGGTGTTAGCCTCCTGGTCTGGAATAGGAATAGCTTTGCTGAATTTCGTCAGAGCATCCTGGAACGTCAAGATGTACTTATTTCCAGCGCTCGTCACGGGCAATGGACCAACTATATCCATAGCACATTGCTCAAACGCCGTCTGAGGGGTTTCTCCGACGATCATGGGCACCTTCGTAGCTTTTCCCAGCTTGTTGAGTTGACATTCCTCACAGCTTCCCACGTATTTCTCCACGTCAGATTTCATTCCCTTCCAATAGAATCTCTGTTTCAATTTAGCGTACATTCGCTTTTTCCCAGGATGACCAGCTACCGGTGTATCGTGGTATTCCCGTAGTATTTCCAAAACCTCATCGTCAGCAGGTGTGATGACCCCGCTGTCCGAGCCCGTACTCGCAACTGTCTCCGTCTCTTTCTTCGACTGCGCTCGAGTTACAATATTGATACGGCTCAACGCGTCGGCGTTGGTATTTAATTTCCCGGGCTTGTATACCACCTCGAAATCATACTCCTCTAATTTTAGACGCCAATGCACGAGATTCGAACCTGGATCCTTAACGTTAAGGATCCATCTTAAAGGCCTATGATCGGTAACGACAGTGAACTTTCGCCCATACAGGTAGGGTCGGAAGTGATGAGCACCCCACACAATGGCTACTAGTTCCCTCTCAATCGTACTGTATTTCTGCTCCGCAGGATTAAGCGTCCGGCTGGCATAGGCAATTGGCAGATCCTTTCCGATCTCCCCCTGCGACAACACAGCTCCCACAGCCTTGTTTGACGCATCCGTAGTCAGCAGAAATGGCCTCTGGAAATCTGGATATTGCAGGATCGGCGCTGTAAACAGAGCTGATTTCAGGCTCTCAAACGCGCTCTCCTCCACTGTCCCCCAGGTCCAGGCGACGTCCTTTCTTAGAAGGTTCGACAAAGGTTTTGCGATTTTGGAAAAATCCCTAATGAATTTCCGGTAGTAACCTGCCAGACCCAAAAAGGACATTATTTCCTTTTCACTCTGAGGCTCCGGAAAATCCTTTACTGCTTCTATTTTACTAGGATCGGCCTTGATCCCATCTTTGGGGATAATATGTCCCAAATACACGACTTCTCGTCTTAAGAAATTGCACTTGTCAGGTTGGAGTCTCAGGTTTGCATCCCTCAGGCGCTGCAGGACTTCCCTCAGCCTCTTATTATGCTCCTGTAGATCCGGGCCAAAGATTACGATGTCATCCAGATATATAAAACATCGGATACCCTGAACTCCAGCCAAAACAGAATTCATTAACCTCTGGAACGTTGCAGGACCGCCCTTAACCCCGAAAAGCAATCTGTTAAATTCGTAGTGCCCATAGGGTGTCGAAAAAGCAGTCTTGCACTTGTCCTCTTCTTTTACGGGAATTTGATGAAAACCCGAGGCCAAATCCTGAGTTGAGAAATACGTTGCATTACCCAACCGATCCAAAATGTCAGTAATATTGGGCAACGGAAATGAATCACCAACCGTGACGTCATTCAACCGTCGAAAATCGACGACAGCACGAAATTTCACCTTGCCCGAAGCATCCATTTTCTTCGGTACGACGAGCAGAGGCGTATTCCATTGACTTTTACTAGGTCGCAGGACGCCACTTTGCAGCATCTCCTCGACCTGCCGGTCAATCTCCCCCATCTGCGCATCTGGTAACCGGTGAGGTCTCACGTTGATGGGCGCGGTGCCAGGTTTCAAGGGAATTTCATATTCTAGATGATCGGTCACCCCTGGTGAATCCCCTGGTAATTGCACGATAGAGTTATACTCCTCCAGGATTTCCAGAAGAGAGTCCCTCTCTTCCCTGTTCAGATGGTCAATCCTCAAATTCTCGTGCAACATCTTAACGCGATCTTTTATTTCGGTTTTCTTGGAACTTCTCAACATCATAATAATTTCTTTCGAGGGTAGAGGTTCAAGTCCTACAGTTGGTAGATCGATAAATACATCATTATCGTTGGTATTGATTACACAAACGACTGCTTGACCATTTACCGCCCTGGTTAAGCATTCTCCCATGAATACTCCTTTTACCAGTTGTTTTTTCTGCGTGATCCCAGTCGTTGCACCGCGTGTAGGAACTCGAACTAAAATTTCACTTCTGGCTTCAATTTTTGCGGGCTCTCTGTCTTGGAATAAATCGAAAGGACGTCCATTAATTATTAACGCCTTTCCGTGCATTGTTTGCACATCTAGGCTAGACGAAGACAAAAAATCCTCGCCTAGTATACCTCCGATGCAAGGAAAACTCTCAGGTACTACTTGAAAGGCATGTCCCAGGTATTTTCTACCAATTTTCAGGTATAATACCACCTCCCCCAAGGTTGCCACATCCTGATTGGAGATTCCTCTCAGGACTCGATTCCCCGGTGAGATTTCAACATCGTCCTCTAATTTATCTTTTCGTACAAGAGATGCTTTCGCTCCCGAATCTGCCAGGAATAAAGTAGGCTCCTTCAATTCAGCTGCACTGAGTAAAATCTGCGTTTTAATCTCAGCAGCCTTTGCTGGTTTTATCATCTGCCTTTTAGATTTTTTTGAAGAATTCCTCCCCTCCTCGGAAGATTTCACCATCATCACTTGATAAGCCCCCACTGGTAGAACTTTATCAGCATCAGCTTTCTCGCCTTTCTTTTTTGCAGAGTTGTTGTTATTGCTGGCCGTTTTGTCGTTTTTGTGTGTCGAGGCCATACCATCTTTGCTATTGGTCAATTCTGACGGAACTTTTTGTGAATTAGGTATCCCCAATCTTTTTTTCAACTTACGACAATCCGTAGCCTCATGACCTGCATATTTGCAGTATTTACAAACGGTCTCAAAAGCGTTGACGCTGCGTCTTTCCGTTGCAACTGGTAACGTTGACTTACGCTGTCCGTTATTACGACATTCCTTCGATTGATGCCCCGGCTGTCCGCAAGTAAAACATTTCCCAGTTGATAGCCTACCCAGAGAACTTCGATTTCCTCCGGAAAAATTCTTCTGCGCTGTTGTAACTCCTCCACTCTTCCCCTTGTGCGCGCCAGAAATAGTTTTTTCTAGCTCTATAGCTCCCACACAAGCCTCATGGAGAGTTTTGAAATTATGTGCTCGTACCAGAATCTGCAACTGCCCTCGTAATCCCTGCTCGAACATCAGTTTTGCCAGGGTCAGCATGAGTGTCTTGGAAGCTAATTTTTCCTTCTCTGTGAACTCATTATGCAGACCTAGTAACCCGTTCAAGAAATCCAAAGTGACTTCTTCCGTGCGAGCCACATATTTAGTAACATCTTCGTTTTCCTTCTGCTGTAGTCTACTGAACTCCACCTGAAGACCCAACAGACTTTTTGTTTTCCCAAAAAGCGACTCTAACTCAGTTTTTAGTTGTTCGAATGACGTAACTGTTCTGTATTTCAGTTGTTTCATGGCACTGCCTTCCAGTTTACTCCCTAAAATTCCTTCTAATAGAAATTCTTGGAGCTCAGGATGGATCAATTTTTTTGCGCTTTCGACTGATTTCATGAAAGCATCCAATTTATCCGGATTTTCCCCTCCGAAATTACGTACCATCTGCAGAGCGCCTTTCAAATCGAGATGTGTACGTACAGTTTCTCGATGATTTTGGACATTTTGCTCTGCCCAGGCATCTGCTAACAGGTCTCTTACGTCATTCCTCTCCCTTTCAGCCTCCTCTCGACGAAGCCGCTCGGATTCCAGAAGTTGTTGCGCTTTCTGCATTTCCTCCTCCCTTTTCCTGTTTCTCATCTCAAGGGTCGCGACTTTTTCATGTAAATCGACTATTTTCCCTCTGAGATGATCTAAACGTCTAGGCGGTCGCTCTTCCCCCGATTTTTCCATATCAGGTGGTATAGTTTCACGACGCCCATCCTCAGGAGTGCGATTTGGTTTAAAGCCCCCTGCTCCAAGTGCCCCCGCCTGGAAGAAGACGTTGCTTGGGGTAGAAAAGTGTAGTTCAGGCGTGTCATTTATTTCCTCTGCTCTTTCCTCTTCCTCCGGAAGTTCCTCGATGTCCTCAAATGGATTTCCCGGCACGTTTTGTGGAGGATTAGCAGGGTAAAGACGTACATTATTTGGGGAATTTGAGATTCTCCCGTTACTTCTTTGCGTGCTATTGCCGCGCCCAGCCCCAGGTAATTCGTCCGGTAACTCGT